CTTCAGGACTCTCTGAGTGGTACCCACCCTCAGATGCCACCCACCCGGTTGTCTTCGCCCTGATGTCTTTACTGTCTGCATTCTGTACCACCGTTCAGGGTGGATGGCTCCCTTCTTTATTCCCCGTACTTGGAACTGTCTTTAAGTGAGTTTTTATGTGAACATACCACAGCCAGTGCCGGCATCCTTCACACCCTTGTATTTCATATCCCCAAGTCCAAGATGATCTTGTTTTACCTACGTCCTACTTTCTGACCTGTCCCATCTGCTATTCATTCTTTGTCTGACTCTGAGATGTTACAGGACCACAGCTGGGTCCTCTTTCTGGTTTCCCCATTCCCTGGGGTCATCTCCGCTGTTGTATGCTGGGCTCCGGCTGTGTGCTGTCCAGTCCTGAGTCACAAGCCCTATGCCTCCCTTGCTCTCCGTGGCTACTGCAGATCTCCCCCAGGGGCTTCTTCTCCCAGTTTAGATCTGCCTCCCACGCCCCTCCCTCTTCTCTCCTGTGCACACGTCGGCTGCCAGTGCCAGCGCCCCCACCCCTGCATGGGCCCCACCCCTCATGGGCCAGAGGCCACCATAGTCCTCAGGGCTTCTGCCTTTTGTGTCACGCAAGTGTCCTTGCTCTGCTCGGCTCTCTCTGGTCCCATCACTTCTGCTGCAGTGGCCACCTGCCTTGCCACCTCTGCACATTCTCTGAATTGCTTTGTTGTTTTGCCAAGGCATTTTTGATCATGCTCCCTACCAGTGTCTCCCGCTGTGTTCGGTGTCGGGGTGGGGCCTTCATAGTTCAGTTGCTAGCTTACGGACGTTTGATGTTCCCTAGAACCTCTGTGACAAGCACCACAGACCAGAGCAAACTCCACAGCAGGGTTTGGTCTCTCCTGGATCTGTAGACCTAAGGGGAAGTGCTGATAGAGATGAGAGAGGACTCTGCCATACCTGTTCCTCGGGTGGTAGGCACAGGTCTCCACTCCCTAGACCCTCCGCCTCTGGTCTGTATCTGCCGTGGTCTGTAGTCTGCCACAACCTTAGTTCTGAGCAGTTTCACACTCAAGGGGTTCTTGATTTTGTTTTGTTTTAGTCTATTTATTTATTTTATGTGGGTTTTTTTTCTTTTTGTCTTCATGTATGCCTGTGCACCATGAACCTGCCCGGTTCCCAGCAAAGGTCAGATTCCCTGTAACTGGAGTTACAGACATGTAACTCCAGTTTTGCAACACCATGTGAATGCTGAGAATCAACCTGGGGTCCTCTTAACCACCGAGCCATCTTTCCAGCCCTCGTTCTTGGATTTTCAGGAGATCCTATTCACCCTCTGTCAATCATTCAGCTCCAACCCTTCTGTCCTCCCTCGCTCGTGTCTCTGTTATTTATGGTATTTATGTTGGGTGGGTGAGAACTCACCAAACAAAAACTTCCAGACAGAGGTGAGAGCTCCCCAGACTGAAGCTTCCAGGCAGAGGTGAGAGCTCCCCAGACTGAAGCTTCCAGGCAGAGGTGAGCGCTCCCCAGACTGAAGCTTCCAGGCAGAGGTGAGCGCTCCCCAGACAGAAGCTTCCAGGCAGAAGGAAGCAGATGCTCTAAGGTCCGCAGAGGAGGAGAACTGTGTTCAGCTTCCAGGCAGAAGGAAGCAGACGCTCTAAGGTCCACAGAGGAGGAGAACTGCGTTCAGACTTCTAGTTTCGTTTGCTCTTTCTCTCTCATGTGCTTCACAGCGCAGTAAGCAGTAGGCTCTGCTCTCTTGTGACGGTTCTGACCTCTTTCTCTAGGGTCTTTTCTGTTTTCTCTGTGCTAAGTACTTACACTTTGCGGCTCCGCTGTGTTTTGATTTCTGATTGTTGGGCTATATGATCTTTGGTGAGATGGCGCTACTTGAACCTGGAGGGCAGGTGTGGGGTGTGCACCCTGTCACTGCCTGACACAGGGCAGGTGCTAGGAATGTTTCTGAGTCCACATCCCGTCGTCCATTTAACCCTGTAAGACAGGCGGCATATCCCTTTGCATGGATCTTTGCCTTAAATGAAAAGTCAGACCATGGAGGTAGTTGTTCTGGGTAACCTCAGGCTCCTTCCACACAGAGGTCATGTGACCCCCAGCCCCTTCCAGGAAAAACAAATTTGAAAGTCAACAGGCTGAGAGAAGCAGGTGGAGCAGCCTCTTGGTTCTCCGAGAGGGTCTCACTGTCTTGGGAAGAACGCAGTGCCAACCAGTCAGGACATTGTACCAAGGGGTACAGTCAGAGCGCAGAGTGATGTGCACCCCAGTCCTAACGTGGAGCAGGCAGCACTGGCAACAAAGCTTTCTCCTCATGCAGACACCTTGGCGATTCTCCATGTTCTTACTCTGGCAAAAGGATTGTAAAGTCTATAATTTAACTAACACTGTTTGGATTCATATTGCAGTTGAGTTGATTTGAATGCCATGTTAAAGACATGCAGAATGGCCCTTTGTTTTTCATGGGTGTGGGAAAACTAACGAACAAGGCATTTCTATATGTTCCTGCAGGGGCAGCCAGGCTGCAAGGAGAGCAAGGCATTTCTATACGTTCCTGCAGGGGCAGCCAGGCTGCAAGGAGAGCAAGGCATTTCTATACGTTCCTGCAGGGGCAGCCAGACTGCACGGGCATTTGGGAAACAGCAAGTGCTCTCCATGTAGATCCTTAAACACTCATTTTCCCAATTACAGTGCACTGCGCTCTCTTGCCCTTGAGGCTCCATGCCACACTCCTTGGGTGTGTTTCACAGATTGTATGTACACTGTTACTTTGGGGGAACAGTCCAAGGTAAATGCTGTTATTCAAATAACCCCCAAAAGAGCATGACCTATAAAACTATTTCAGAAGCCCAAGCTAAAATAGAGCTGCCCAAAGCTCCCAGAGGAAGTGCTTAGCTGTTCCAGTGTAGGAATCAGCATGGCTGTCAGGCTAATTTGTACAGTAGACCGTGACTAGAATAGACAAGGATGGAATGAACACAGCTAACTGTAAACTAGATCAGCCGTGCCCAGCCTGCGGTGTGTGCAGTTGAGGCTAACGCTGAAGGACCCCATCCTGTGCGAACCCCAGAGGGCAGCCTCCTGGAGGGTGCTGCCGAGTTTGGGTTCACTGGGTTTCTTTCTCTGTTTCTGTTACATCAGGGATTCTAGGAAGGACTCATGGGAGCTTCGGGATGTTTGTGAGTGGATGATTGCCTATTTCTCGCTAACTTCTACTAGAGTTAGCGTTGAAAATTACTGTAGGATACAACCAGCAAGAGCTTCCTCACCCAATGAAGGTACAGTCTCTCTGGACTAATGCGGTTCCCTCGTCTCTGCTCCAGAACTGTGGTACTAACAGGCTGTCCACTGGGCCTGTGTCGTGGTAATGATAGAGAAGCACACGTCAATTGACTTCTCCATGTTTTGGTAACTGGATCCGCACACCCATTTCCTCTGTGAACCTGTATGTCTTGTTTCATGCATTTAAAAACAAAAACAAATGAGACAAACAAGCAAAAACCAGGGCATTTTGACAAAACCAAGAGAACTATGAACCCACAGCTTCAGAGGTAATGGGTGCCTGGGGCCAAGTCCTAGATCAGGAAAGGGGACAGCCATGGAAACTCTTGTGGGGTTCAAACCAAAGCCTGGAGTTTTACTGTCTCGTATTGTGCCAGCTGACGTGTTCTGTGGACATGTAAGGCGTTCCCCCGGGAAAGCTGGCAGGGCTCTGGGAACGCGCACACTGCCTTTGCAGCCGCAGTCTCCTGCTGCGGGCACAAGCGCAGGTCTCCTGCACAGGCCTTCTGCTGCAGGCCTCACACAGGCCTCCTGCCCGGACCTCCTGCACAGGCACAAGCACAGGCCTCCTGCCTGGGCCTCCTGCCCGAACCCAGGCCTCACACAGGTTCTGCGTGCTCTTAGAGATGGTCAGGAGAGGATGTGCGTCCAGGTAGATCGAGCCTAGTGTCACTACAGTGAACCGTGGGGCTGGAACAGTGCAATCTAATACAGTATAGAGGGTGCAGAGTTGTAGCTTGGGGGTCAAATTCTAACTGGGTCACTTGCCAGCTTTGGGACCTAGGGCCAGAAACCACTCTGAGCTTCCTCTCCCCTAGCCTCACAAGCCTGTGGGTCATCAGAAGGGCTCAAAGGAGGAAGCCCTGTTGTTAGCTTTTCCTGGTGATCTCTGGTGCTTATGATAGGCCAGGCATCAGTCTTGTTTAGCATCTTTACGGGAGTGATCCAGTTTCTTCTTCATGACACCTGTATCACGTGACTACTTCAGAGAGGGGAAACTGAGGGTCAGAGGTCCTGTGACCTCATGGCCCAAGCCACAAGGCTGAGCTTCACTGGAGCCCAGTGCTCCCGCCTTCCCGGGCTTCTAATCAGACGGGGTTCCAGGGTATCCTTCAGTCTCCTGACATCCTGACACCCTGCTCTGTGTCCCCCAACCCTGGTGCCTCACCATAGATCGGTCCCAGCAGTGACCGTCTCGCCCTCCACACCCTGGAGGTTTTAGGCGCTTATTCCTGCTGCTTTACAGACCACTGACAGAAAAAACCAGAGTTTTTCATAATGTTTCTTTGGCATTTTCCCAGATTCCAAAGAAGTAAAAAGCAAAACAGAAAACTAGAACTTTAAACCAGAACAAGTAAAAATAAAAACAACAACAAAACCCAGCAAAGGTCACTGTGACCTCTACCTGTTTCTTAATTGTGGTTCTGTTGAGGGGTCATTCTGTGGGACAGGGGAGTGCTTCTTCTTCCTCTTCTTCCTCCTCCTTTTATTCTTCTCTGTGGGGTCATCAGTTCCTTCAAATTAATGTCTATTGAATGAAAAAGGGTCAACTCTGGGTCCAATACTGAAACAAACAGTAATGGACAGGCAGCAAGCTGTTGTCCATGAGCGACAAGGGAATGCTCGCGAGTCTCCGAAACGGGGACAAGATCAGCTCCTGGCAGAGTCGGGACAGCTTCCAAGCTTCTTGCTGCTGACCAAGGCTGGCTCTTGCTTTCCAGTTCTTCCCCTACATCCTGCTGCTGTTCGCCATACTCCTGTACCTGCCCACGCTGTTCTGGCGCTTCGCGGCAGCCCCACACCTCTGCTCAGATCTGAAGTTCATCATGGAAGAACTCGACAAAGTCTACAACCGTGCCATCAAGGCTGCCAAGAGCGCCCGGGACTTGGACCTGAGAGATGGACCTGGACTGCCAGGAGTGAATGAGAATGTGGGGCAAAGGTAACAGCGCCAGAAGGCCGCCTGTAGCCATCCTAGAATGAGTTCCCTGCCCTTTCTCTTGCCGGGCTAGCCCAGAGTGCTGATTGCCAAGAGTGGGTAGGTAGGTAGGGTGTCTGCCACCAGCTGGCAAGGGACAACCCCTCCCCACTGTCCTCAGGTCAGTGTTCCTTTCCCTGGCCGGTCTCATCCTTTGGAAAGTAGTTCTCCGAGGGATGATAGATCAAAGTCTCAAACAGAGCTTGCTTGCTTTGATGTCTGTAATGGAAAAGCGCAGAGGATTCTGGGGCAATCAAACATATGGAAGGGATGAGAGAAGTGGCCCCAATAGGTGGAGACCCTCCTTGTCACGTTCTTCCTCTGGCTCTGTCATTGCCAGTAATAGCAATAGTAGCAACAGCTGTCTTATGTTTAAGACTTCTTGCCGTATTCCTGTCGTAGGGCTTCTGTTGCTGTGATAAGACACCATGACCAAAAGCAACTTGAAGGGGAAAGAGATTATTTTAGCTAACCATCCACCATTCCATTCCATTATTGAAAGAGTGAGGGCAAGAACTCAAGCAGGGCAGGAGCTGATGCACAGGCCGTGGGGGAGAGCTGCTGACTGGCTCGCTCTCAATGGATGGCTCAGCCTGCTTCCTTACAGCGTCCAGGACTGCCAGTCCAGGGGCGGCACTGCCCACAGTGACCTGGGCCCTCCCACGTCACTCAACAGTCAAGTAAATGAAGCCCAAGCTTGTCCACAGGCCCCCCTGCTATGGGTCTTTTCTCAGTTGAGGTCCCACTTAGAAAAGTGCTCTAGCTTGTATCAAGGTGACAGAAACTAGCTGTCCAATTCCAGGCTCTGTTTTATTGTGCAACATTATTAATTAACTACTTTGTTTGCCTCTTTCTACCCTTTTGTTTCTAGGTAATAGATAAACACTGTCATGCAGTCTTTTCTGGGAGAGCCGGGGACCCAAACAATGGCATTTGGGTCCCCCGAGTTTCCCTAACCCTCCCTGGTAGAAACATATGTGTTCTAGTTGGGCTTAAAATTTTTTTATTAGCTTGCACAGAGAGAGATTGTAGTTTGAAAACAACAACAATAAGCCGGCTGTTATTCTGGATTGGATAAATTTATTTAATAGACATTGAGCCCTGGGTACCGGGCATTTCCCTAAAACTTATTAAGTATTACTCACATTTAATCAACCAAATTGTCTTTAAACTATTAAAAGGGGGCCTGGAGAGATGACTCAGCGGTTAAGGGCACTTATTCCTCTTGCAGAGGGCCTGAGTTTGGTTCCCAGAGTCCACATGTTGGCTTACAAATGCCTATAACTCCAGCTCAGGCATCTAACACCCTCTTCTGGTTCCTGAGGGCACTACACACATGCAGACAAAGTACTCATATAAACTCTTGAAAAGTCTAGAATATTAAAATGAAAAAGAAGGTTTAAGCGTGGTTTTATTCGTTAGTGCTTGAGTGAAGTTATAGTCATTGCGTTTGAAGTTTTCAGTGTGCCGGTGTTGACCGTGTCCGTGCCTTTGACATTTGATATGAGACTGGCAAGCGTCTCGGTTACTGTTGTTTGCTTCGTTTTCCAGTCTGTGGGAGATCTCTGAAAGTCACTTCAAGTACCCAATCGTGGAGCAGTACTTGAAGACGAAGAAGAACTCTAGTCATTTGATCGTGAAGTACATTAGCTGCCGACTGGTGACACTGGCCGTCATCCTGCTGGCGTGTGTCTACTTGAGCTATTACTTCAGCCTCTCCTCACTGTCAGACGAGTTTCTGTGCAACATCAAATCGGGCATCCTGAGCAATGACAGCACCATTCCCGACCGCCTCCAGTGCAAGCTCATCGCCGTCGGCATCTTCCAGCTGCTCAGCTTCATCAACCTCATCGTGTACGCCCTGCTGGCCCCCGTGGTCATCTACACACTGTTCGTCCCGTTCCGGCAGAAGACAGATGTTCTCAAGGTCTACGAGATCCTGCCTACTTTCGATGTTCTGCATTTCAAGTCTGAAGGCTACAACGACTTGAGCCTCTACAACCTCTTTCTGGAAGAGAACATAAGTGAGCTCAAATCATACAAGTGTCTTAAGGTGCTGGAGAACATTAAAAGCAACGGGCAGGGCATCGATCCCATGCTGCTCCTGACCAACCTAGGCATGATCAAGATGGATGTCTTTGATGGAAAGACCCCCATGTCCGCAGAGATCAAGGGACAGGACCAGGGGAGCCGGATGACGGAGTTCAAAGGTAGGCTTGGCTCTCTGGACAGGCACGCCTTGGTGTCAGTCGGGGCTGTCTTCACCTGCCTGTCACTTGGACCATCGCCCCAGTGTTGTCCTGGGGAAGAGTGTGGGAACAGATTGCTGTTACCCCGAGTTTCCAAACAAGGGTCAATCTGTACTTCTCCTCCATCTCCTCTCCACCTACCTTCTGGTTCTTCTGTCTGTGTCGTGTTCTCTGTCTCCTGCCCCGCCTCTGTTTCTAGCATCCTTGTTGTCTCTGTCTTGTCTTCCTGTCTGTACCTCCCATCTCTTTGTCCTTCTGCCTTTCGTTCTTTTTAGTATCGATTGTTTGTTCTTTGACAAGTTCATATGTGTTTACAGTACATCTTGATATCATATCCAGCTTTCACACAATATATTCCCTAGTATAGCCCCTTCCCACCTTCATATCCTTTTCTTTCCTTTCCTTTTCTTCTATGACCCAGTGAGTCCAGTTAGTGCTGCCTGCAAGGATGTTGATTGCTCATGTTGGCTGTCTTGTATAGGTCACCATCGCTGCAGTGAGCTGGGTGCCAACCACGTCGTGTTCAGGAGCCAGCGTTTTGTCCCCCTGTCCCTTGCTCTTAATTTTTTTCCCTCTTCATAGGCATTCCCAGAACTTGGATTTAGAGGTTCGGGGGTTAGAATAGATGTCTCATTTGGGGCTGAGTGCTCAGCAGCCACTTCACTTGCTCTCAGAGCTTAAACCAGTTGTGAGTCTCTGCACTGGCTGCTGCCCACCACAGAAGGAAGGGTTCTCCGGCCTAGGCCGCACTGATCTATGGGTAGAACTGTCAGTATATAGAAGGGAGTTTGATAACTTATCCATTTGGCCTCTCTAGAACCTAGGACCTCCTGAGCTGTGGGCTTTGTACTGTGTTTACTGTACAAGTGTGAATTCCCTCCTCTGGAGCAGGCCTCATAAAACCAAGAGTTACTCCAAAAGCCACCATTTGACTTTCTTTCTCAAAAGAGGGACTTTCTTGACGTAACCTGACTTCAGACTAGGAAGCAGACACGGTAAAACAATGTGTGTATTGTGTGAGAAGTCCTCCCAGTGGAGTAAACAGCACCATGCTCCCTGCTAGTCCTCCTTTCTAAATAGTGGTTTTAATTTTGACAGATTTGGACCTGAGCAGCGACACTACAACCAATAATGGAGAGAAGAACTCTCGACAGAGACTTCTGAATGCATCCTGCTGATGGTTTTGTTCTTGAGTTTCAAGTTTGTGGTTTCTGCGGCCAAAGCCCCGTTGTTGGGCCTGTAGCTAGTTGGCGGTAAAGTGTCTTTGTTAGTGATGTGGTGTGTGTCTTACCAGTCCCCGATAGACACAATGGCCAAAGTGTCATCTGTCACTGTGAAAGACGAGTGCCATTGAAGAAAGGATTAGGACTGTCCCACAAGACGAAATATGGAAATGAGTAATGGGCTCTGTCCGAGGTCCTCATCAAAGGGCTGCTAAGAGCATAGAGCCTTCTAGAGCCTTCTAGAGCCTTGAAGAAACGCCGTTCTGGACTGACATGTTGCGAGACCTGGAGCTTCCGGAGAACAAGCACTCTGGGAGATGTCTTGTTTTATGAGATGATAATAAACATGGCAGGGTATAATTTAATAATGGCCTCTGTGTGCTCTTACTGACCGTTGAAGAAGGAAAGCACTCACTGGTCCGACCAGCAACCTTGGCCTGTGCACGGCAGCGCCCTAAGTTGGGTGTGACCTGGAGTCATGGCCCCTGTACTGGCAGACTCTCCTGTCACTCGCCAGCCTCAGCTGATTGTTGTCCTGTAACCTCTGCTCGCTGCTGTTTGCCCTCTGCAAGCACAGCAGGCTGAGGCCGTGCCGACTGAACCCAGCTGAGGAGGCAGATTGTGTATTGGTCATGCTATGGTGACTCTCGGAAGGCTTCAGAGACAGCCCAGTGGGAAATCTGAATTTAGATGTACTGATAGATGTCGTCAGGGATCTGAGACAGAACAGCGTTTCACGGAAGCACAGGGAGGGGCGCTTTGCCCAGTGTGAGCTGTGCACGGAGCTGATGCGGTTGGAGACAGGTTGTTTATATTGGAGCACAACTTTTAAACTTGCAGATTAATTTATATAATTGAGATCATTTGAGAAGAACATTCTAGCATTGTTAAGAATTACAGAATACATTACACACACGTCAGGACGGATGTAAGCACTGCTTTGTGAACAGGTTTATTCTTTGCAACATGGTCTCGCTCTGTAGCTCAGCCTGCTCTTGGAATTGTGACAGTCTTCCTCGCTTGGCCTCCCAAGTGCCAGGCTCACAACTGTGCCACAGGGCCTGGCTTTATAAACAGGCGTGTTGACTTGGAATTCGGAAAAGGCCGTTCTCATTCTGACCGTGTGAACAGGCTGTACGTTCTCACTTTGTCTGTAGACCTTCCCATTTCTAACACCTTGTCTGTTGGAAGCCTTCAGGAATCGCCCAGGGTACCTCTGGCCAGTCTTAGGGGCAGCTGTCTACCCTATCTAATTGCGTTTTGATGAAGTCAGACATTGCATGAGTGGCTGTCTGCCTTCGGGAATGTACAGAAAAGCAGATTTGCTTATGCTTCCGTGGCAGGGTCTGAGTTGGGAACTCAAGAGCGCACTGGGTATTTGAATGGTGCTGTTCCATGGTGCTTCTTCCTGTTGAGTTATGTGTGACGGGCGCCATGGTAACTAAGGACTGATTTGTACATGTTTATACTGCTGTGTTGGAGACATTTCTTTACAGTCCTCTACAGTGTGTGTGTGGGGGGGGGGGGTGTTCTTTTTTTTTTTTTTTACTTTGAAATGACCTTTGAAGTGTTTTTTTCTAGGCTATGGATTTTTTTTTTTTCAAAAAGCGTCATCTTGTAGCATAACGTGTACTTGAGGTAATAAAGAATGATATTTTAGGAGATCGGGTACTCTCCGAGCCCAGCCACATGTAGTCCTTTGGTCAAATGTGTGCTTGGGTCCTTGGTCTCTGTTTAGTTTGCCCTCCCTTCTCTCTTGAGCTACAGTAGAACCCACGGCATCCCAGGCATCTGACTTGGTACTGACTGTGACATATACGGGCAGGCAGTCCTGTATGGAGGGCGTCAGAGCCTAGCAACGCACAGTGAAGACATGGGTAGGTATAAGAGATGATAGAATACCCACAGGAAGGACTTCCAGAAAGCAGAAGACCCTTTGTGGTGTTAAGAGGAGCCATATTGTCCGGTCCCCTTGCCTATTCCCTGCCCTAAGTTCCATAGCTGGTGGTTTCCAGGAGGCCGGTGACCATCTTCAGCCGTAAAGCCTCTAGACGAAAGTTTAGACAGAACAGCAACTTGGTTTAAGCAGTTGAGCTGCAGCTGGCTTCTCTACTTTCCTTCCAGGACATGGGGAGAAGCCCTGGGGCACGTGGTGCTGCTGCTGAATTACAGCTCCAAGGAGCTGGTATACTGATGCCCAGCGGTGCACTTTGGCCTGGAGTTAGCAGCCCCTCTGCCCGCTGACTCGCTGGCTTTGAGCCCTTCTCTAGGGATGAGGGGGCTGCTTTTGTCAGCACTTGTCCCTTTATTACAGACATAGCAGCTCCTAAATGACCACTGTGGGCCACTGGCCTTGTTTTAAGTCTTAGTGGACTACGGAGGTTTCCAAACCAGACTTACAGTAGCGTGGCAGCCTGAGCAGCACAGATCTTTCTGGAAACAGTGTTCTGGCACATTTGCCATTTTACCAAGGGGGCACACAGAGCTCTGCAGCGTAGAGGCCCTTCAGCTCTGGGTGGGGTGTTTAAAGTTACAACAGACCCAGATCTTGTAGCTTGTCCTACTGAAGGGAACGTGCCTTGCCCTTGAGAAAGCTGCTGCCTTCAACCTGAGACTGGGCTGGATGTTGGCTCAACTGAGTCATGGTTGCGTACCTCTGAGAGAATGTCTTTTTGTTATTCCCCTTCACTTTCTAGACTCAAAGTGAATCCGAGTGAGGTGGGCAGCCTCCAGCCTGGAGTGACTGAGTATCTAGCATTAATCTCGTTTTCTCTGGAGTTCTTGCCCGTTGTGTGTCTCTGGAGTGCAGGCGGGGAACATGGGACACCACAACATACGGCTTACATAACATCACCCTGCTTCACAGTGGTGATGTTAGGGACTGGAAACCCTGCCTTGTTTGGTGGTTCTGTATTGCATGTGTGTTTTAGCATGTATAAACACCTTTATCATGTATCCATTCCCACCCAAGACCTAGCTCCTGTGGCTTTGTTCTGTGAAAGACAGATGGCTACACCTTTCAGGACACGCACACTGCTTGCTTTAATCTGCTGTGTCGGAGCAGGACAAATCTTCAAAGGTCCAGCGTTCGTGGCTGTTAAAACTAGCTCAAGCCAGCAGCCGAGCTCACCAGGCCCCTTGTTGAACGAGCAAGCAAGGGAAGATAGTTTTTGGCATCTCTGATTTAATGGGCGTGTGGTCCTCTGCAGGAGAGTGGAAAGGCTCTTTCCACTGACCTGAAGCAGCAGTGTGGCAGACAGACAGCCTTTCCCTGGAAACATGGGTGATTCTTAGCTTCTGATGTGAAATGAGTCATGATCACTCTCCGAGTTTATTTAAATTCAGAGTTGTCTTGCAGTGGCTAGGGAAGTGGGGGTTTTAAGATGCTGGTCTCAGCGGTACAGAATAAACCTCTTAAAGGATCTGTGGCTGAAAATGTGCCATTACCAATGAATGTTTTGTCTTCAGGCACTGAGATGAACGGCTCCTTGGGTGATCATTGGCATTTCCGCCTTATGTCTCAAAGGAACCACACCTCTTTGAAGGGATTGACAAATGCTATTGTGTCAAATGTGGAATATAATAGATGCTAATTTGTAGTTCATGTCCCTCCTGCATTCAATTAGAGCTATTGTGTTTCTGGATCTCTTTAGCTTTGGGTTACATTGTCGCTGGAGCATGTAGTTTTCAATCAGTAATTGTTCGTAGGTTCCTGAAAGGTACAAAGTTTCTTCTGTCTTAGGTACTTTTTTTTCCTTGCTCAACACAGGAGGAAACAGTAGGATTCTGCAGTGTGACAGGCGTTCCCTAGGAAAACATAGTCAGCTCCACTTTGTAACAAGCTGGCCTTTCTCAAATGCCCTAACTGCAGTGTGATGGGCGTTCACTACAGTGGCATTCTGTGTAGAAGTTTCGGGGTGGTGAGGGAGGTTGTGATAGGGTTTATTTGTGTAGCCAGCCTGCAGAATTTTTGGTGGATGTTTTTGTTTTGTTTGTTGTTTTGTTTCTCTGTATAGCCCTGGCCGTCCTGGAACTCTCTGTATAGACCAGGCTAGCCTCAAACTTAGAGATCCACTTAGTTCTGCCTCCCTAGTGCTGGGATTAAACGTGTACCGTTGTGCTTGGCTAAGTTAAATTTGTAATGATTAAAATTTCTCTGAAGCCTTTCAAGAAAAAATATGTATGTTCTTTTTGCTGTGTCATTTGGTAAAAATACTGAGCCTTTGAAGAACAACTTCAGGCATTAAGTTCATCTTCAATTTTGTTCCACAAAGCCCAAAAACTGAGACCAGATGATGGCGTCAGAAAACAGCCTTGTGAAGACCACGTGGGACGCTCGCCCTACTGCTGAAGGCGGTGCTTCCGGGGAGGTGCTTGGCCACACTACGCTGACGCTGACGTTCATCTAAAGGGGGTACAGAGCTCACAGTCAAGGCTGCTGTGTCTGCAGACAGTAGCAAATGGTGCTTTAGTTCTGTGCTCTGATGTTTCCCCAAATAAAACTTTTCTAAGTAACAGATGTGACCTCACCTACCTTTTTTAGGAGTCGCTCCACTGAAGATGGAGCAAGAAGAGGGTCTTGAAACACCTTGGGGCTCCTCCCTGTCTGGTGCTGCGTGACATTCAGGAGTCTCCACAGTACTTGGTAAAATCCAGCTGGCAGTAAGTGAAGGAAGCCCACAGGCTGGCTGGGGTTTACAAGGTTTCTGGTGTCTGGTTGAGCTGTCTGGATTTGGGCAGGCGGATATGAGTGCCTGTTCACCTCTGCTCAGGAGAAGAACACTTCTGCGATGGAAGTAAACACACTTGGCAGGTTTAGTAGACCACAGGCACACACAATCTTGGCAGAGTCCGTAGCTGTAGTAAGCACACTATAAAAGCTTCCAGGTCCCCAGCTGTCCCCCAGGGATCTGTGTGCTGCATTCATTTTTTTGTAGCCCCAGAGTATAACTGATACTCAATAGCTCAGAGCACCATTGCTGGTCTTGCAGCTCCCTGTACCAGGAGTGTGGACAGTCTATCCAGGTCCTCAGCTCAGGGTCCCAGGTGCCGTCAATGTCAGGATGGCAGGTGGTGGTCTCTGGAGACTGAGCTGGAGAAACTGCTGCCTTCAGGAGCCAGCCCTACCTCACCTGCTCATCTCTGGGGTTTTGGCCCGGGCCCCTCCCTCCTATCTGAAGTAGCCACATGTATCATTTCTTAATGGCTTTGCAGCCTTGGCTGTTTTACTGTTACCTCCTTTCTGTTAAACCATCAGCTCTAAGATCCGCTGCAGAAAGCTCCCCCAAGTCTCCACCCAGCCTCCCATGCTGACACCTGTCCCTCCCGCCATCCTGAGACGCCCACGAGGCAGGCTGGTTCCTTGTCCCTGAACTCCCAGCACCTAGACCAATGTTCACCTACAGAGATTGCTTACCCAAACACTGAATCCTGTGTTGCTGGGTGCGGAGGGGAGCATGGATCAGAAGTGAACTCTTCTCTGGGCCAGTTACTTAGCTCTACTACACATCTGGTTTGCCCAATTTAAGACAGTCGAGTTCACACCCGTCTCCCCCCCCCCATTAGTGATCAAGAACCTGCCCCTGAGCCTCTCCTTGACATTAGTGCCTGCTATCCACACTGGTGCTCACTGCCCCCGGCAGTCTCCTTTTCTTAGGGTTCTTACATCCACATTGTTATATAAGAGTTCATCTGAGTATTCTAGTGTCTGCTGTTTCTGGGATTAAAAGTTCCCTGACGAAAAGCAAAAGGGAAGAAGGGTTTGTCTGAGTTTGCAGTTCCAGAGGGATCGGGTCCTTTGTGTTAGGGAAGTCTTGGCTACAGGCAGGGGAGATGTGGCCGGAGAAGGAACCCAGCTGATTTCACCTGCAGATGGGGAGACGGAATCAGATGTGGGCTGAGGCTGTAAAACCTCAGAGCAATCCTATTGTACTTCCTCCAGCCAAGATCCCCTTCCCAGATGTTACATAATTTCCTTAAACAAGGCCGCTGGCTGGGGACCAAGTGTTCAACTAAGAAACCAAGTTCTCTTCAAACCGTAGTGGGCTCATCATCACCAGTTGGAAGTGCTGATGCCATTACAGTAAGAAGGGGGCACTTGTTCTCAGTATGTATCCATCCACGAAAGAGGTTTATTCTGTGATAGCCCCTCCTGTCACCCACGGGTCTAACAGGAAAAGAAGGAGATGCTGGACTGGCAGCTGCTGACCTGGACCCACAGCCCTGGGCTCTTCCAGATAACACCAAGTTACAGCAGCTAAACTGTAGAATCGAGAAATAGTCGCCTTCTATTTCTTACACCCTCAAATAACTCCCGTGTTCTGGCAGCCCCTTCATGAAAGCAAAACAGAGGAAGAGTGTGGTGTTCTTGGTGTTCTAGCAGAGACGGGGCCAACAGGCCCCTGGGGGAAGGAGGGAGCAGGCCTGTCAGTGAAGCATCCCTTTCAAGAGCCAGTTTCTGAAGTTGCCATGTGTCTTTTCTCTCACACACACAAATAAAAAACAAGAGGAGCTAAAGTGCTGTCAAAATCACTTCCAAACCCCCAGAAATGAAATCCGCATCACATCTAAGTGAAGATGGTCATCTAGAACCCAAGCTTCCATGAAACTTCAGGAACATAAAGGGAAATGTTCTGCCGATAATTTCAGAGGTAAGGACACTTGGAGATCTTAGCGTTCCTGTCATTTGTTCTGAGTCTGAGAAGTGCCTGTTACAAAGGAAGCTTCGCTGAGAACAGAGGCCCTTGAGGCTCTTCACCGTCACTTTGTACTTTACAGACACCGTCTCCATGAAAGGAGAAGTTTCATTTTAGAAGAAAAGAAATTGCAAGAGTAAGCGAGGGGAGGAGGAGTAGGCTACAGGTATCATCAGGTTGGGAGAGCTTGTCCAACGGGATACAATGGAGGGCACTGTAGAATTTTCAAATTTCTTATCCACATAAAGAAATGAAATGGGCAGAATGAATGTTAGTCGTCATCCTAACCAACTGAATAACCCAGAATATTAGTTCATCTTTCAGTATAAGAAATAGCGGGGGGCAGGGGCTGGAGAGAAGGCTCAGTGGTTAAGAGCATTGCCTGCTCTTCCAAAGGTCCTGAGTTCAATTCCAGGCAACCACATGGTGGCTCACAACCATCTGTAATGAGGTCTGGTGCCCTCTTCTGGCCTGCAGACATACACACAGAATATTGTATACATAATAAATAAATATTAAAAAAAAAAGAAAAGAAAATATCAGGGGGGCTGGAGAGATGGCTCAGAGGTTAAGAGCACTGATTGTTCTTCCAGAGGTCCTGAGTTCAAGTCCCAGCAACCACATGGTGGCTCACAATGAAATCTGATGCCCTCTTCTGGCCTGCAGGCATACATGCAGATAGAACAGTGTATACAAAATAAATAAATCTTTTGTTAAAAAAAATGAAATAGCAAGGTATTTTACATCTTTCATACCTAGCTTTTTAAGTTCGACATAAATGTTTGGCTTGCAGTGCTTCTTGTTTGAGACTGACCATACGCAAGTGCCCACCGCGCCTTGTGGCTGGTGGTCGTTACATTGACAGAGCATGTCAAAATAGGTTGCGCTGTGTTCCCACCTAGTGATAGCACTACGTTTTTCTCCTTTCTGAAGGCACTGTCCCTGTACATGGATTTAATTAACAGTGGCATGTAACCGTGAAAGCTGACACATTTCTAGGGATTTATGCACGCTTAAGGTGAGATGCACGTTAATATTTCCTCCCTTGATGCTTGTTAATCCAAGTGGGAGCTTAATAAGCTGCGCTGACCTCTGCAGCCCCTTCTCTGTTTGCCCTAGTGCGCATTGTTTGATTTGCGTGTGCACTTCTTACTCCTCCGTCCCCAAATAGGCAGAAGCGCTGTTAGATCTTGGTGCCTTCATCGCATTTGACCACTGGAGGTCAATAAGGCAATAGTTATCCAGGACCTCTGCAGTGGGTTTGGAAGCCTTGGAAATGGGACTTAACAGTGAAATTTTGAGCCCAGTCCCAAATACAGTAAAGCCGGGTGAGTTAGATACTCAGGAAGAGGGATAGACTCAGGAGTGGGAACTAGCAAAACAAGAAGGGTCCTGGCTTACTAAGGGGTGGGGGATCAGACACTCCTGGCAAGAGGCAGACATGGGGCCTTGATCTGACAAAGAAGGTGGTCAGGTACTATGGAGGGTTCTTGCTAAAAGCAGATTTGGCAATGTTCACTAAAGAGCCTTACGGGAAGGTTCAGCAGGCAGAGTGGCCAAGAGAAGAACCCTCACTGGCCCCTCCAGCCTCAGACTGGTCCCTTGCAGAGTACAAGCTGAAGGGAGAAAACTCAAAGCTTTTACCCACTGAAGGCAGCCACAGTGCCAGTCATTCTTCAGTGGGAGCCCGGGTGGATGATGGGCAGAGGCAATGAGCACACGAAGTAGAATAAGGTTAAAAAGGCCAATCAGTAGACACTGAGTTATTGGTTGATTTAGTGGTTTTACTTAAAGCACTGTTTATACTGCTACTTGCCAAGCACGATTTCACTTGCTACCTGAGACAGAAACATGGAGAATTGGCTGAAACAACCAGCTAGCTGCCCCGCCTGGTGGTTTGGGGGTAGAAAATGAGAATATAAAGAGGACCCAGGATTGAAAGCTTTCGGGAGCTAGTCTGCCTTCCATTTACCGAGGGCATCTCTCTCCCACTCCACTGGTGTTGAATGCTTAGATTCCCACAACACACTACAGCTGAGTCTGTCTAAGCGGGGAGCTGGCCGCCAGCCCCTGACCGGGGTAGATGAAACTTGCACCTACCGTCTCCGGGCAGGCTCGGCACAGTGGATTTAATGAGAACACTCTGGGAGGGGGAGCTTGAGAGAGGCAGCTGGAGACAGTCCTGGAGATTTCTTTCCACACACAAGTCACTGACTGAGGTAGAGAGAAGCTTGTGAGTGTGGAGTCAGACACACGCGTCGTATCTCAGAGTGGTGTGGCCCTGAATGACCGCCGCGGTCCTTATCTGTAGGATGGAATAGTCTCCCAGGTTTGGGTGTATGTCAACTGTGAAGTTAATTGTGAACATAGGGAAAGCTGCCAAAGTAGCGCAGCAGAGAGAGATATCATTCTGCGGTACCCCTAGCTTTTCTCAATGGCGCCCTCTTACATAATGGGATTGTTTCAAAACAGGAAACAGCAACCCATTGATCCAGTCTGCACTGCAGACTTCCTCTGGACTTGCCCGGTTTGGGGCACATTTACATGCATGTGTATGCACAGGTGTGTACCTGCATGTGCGTTCCAACGGAAATAAGAATCATTTGTCGCTGCCAAAGTACTCTTCCCACCACCCCCTGCATAGTCATGCCCACCCTGCCCCAGGTGACCACCGTCCCCAGCTGTCACTCTCATCTAGAGGATGCTCTAGTACTGGACTCAAAATCTAAAGCCCTTTGAGACTGACTGCTTTCGGCCAGTGTAACAGTGACCCGAGGCCCATCCACGCATGCACTCATGGGTCGCTTCTTTTGT